TGTTCTGTTTCAGGAAAAGAGGCATTGAGACAAAGCAACAAGTTCCAACAGTCTCCTTCATTGCAACACCAACAGAACAGATTTTAAAAATGGTGCGGCCCCCTTTTATAGCCCCCCTGCACAATACCTTGCTGGCCAATCATTGCAAAGGCTGGAAGCAGCCTTTCTTGTCCCAGGCAGCACAATACCTTGCTGGCCAATCATTGCAAAGGCTGGAAGCAACCTTTCTTGTCCCAGGCATCCACATGGTCTGCCCGGGCCAATTGCTGCAGCCTGTGCCTGCCGGCCCAGGACATAACAATAAGTCCTTTGCCAAGCATCTGAATTTGGATCAGGTGACCATGGAGATCAGTGCCATCGAAACTTTGAACGGTCACTAAATGAACTATTGTAAGTTGTGGATTACCTGTATTTGGAAATAAATGTACAACTGAAGAAACCCACTCACTAATGAATTAATTATTTTTTAAACTACAGGAGTATTTGAAAGTTGTCAAATTACAGGCCCCAGAATTCTCAGGGTGTTGGTGGGAACATGGAGATATCTTGAAGTCCTAGATGGAGAAAGGTACCTGATATAAGTTAAAGTGATCTTTATGCTCATTGATCTCCTACATTCCCAAAACATTCTTAGGTTAATAAGCGTACAGTAAAGTGTTGTCGTAAGAAGCTTCAGGAATAAAACTGATGCACTCCACTTTTATGGCTGAATGAGATATCTATCAAACGTTGAATGTCTCCCGCTGTTGATGTGTATTTTTAGCTATGTTTAAAATTTTAAAAATAATGTTAAAATGTAAAGATTTAATATGGAAATAGGACAGAAAGGAATGAACCGATGCAAATATGACAAAACGCTCCCTAGAAGGTTTGCCCATGGTTACAGAGAAGCCTCACACCACCAACTGCACCCAGCTGGACTGAAATAAAACTTGGCCACATCCTGTTAGTGAGACATGAGGAACTGAGGCAGAGAAGTACTTAACCAAGTAGGAGAGCTGTGAAAGGAACAAGCACCTTCCTCAATTCCCCACGCATAGCTCAGCCACTTCCTTGTAACACCCACAAAGAATGTTAGGAATAGCTTCCAGGAAGGGCTTCTCCCAAGCTCATTTGAAAAGCCAGGTTTTCTGATACATTACGGGGACAAGCTTTCAATTAAAAAAAAATCACTAATAGTCTTCAGAAAAGATATCGGCTCCAAAACTGGAAGTGGTTTCTTTTTGGCCAGCTTGCAGTTTAAACATCCTACTCCATTACGCTTCTTGTTTGTTTGTTTGTTAATTTATCCATTTTTATTAACTGTTGGTTGGTTCTAATAGGGCAGTGGTGGGATTCAAATACGTGAACAACCAGTTCTCTGTGTGGATGCCGCTTCCGGAAGTCCGTTCTGAGCCTGGGCAACAAAAAATTAGCTACCGGTTCTGCGCGAACTGGCTGAATCCCACCACTGTAATAGGGTGAAGTTTAGCTGTGCTGCCAGATTTTTTTTTTTTTTGTCTTACTGTTTTCATAGTTGGTACTGTATATATTTCATTGTTTCATTATTGGTAATTATTGCTTTCATCCTTGGGTTGTGAGTTGCCTACAGATTAATTTAAGAAGGGCATGTTTAAATTTAATTTTATTTAATTTAAGAAGGGGATATTAAAAGTATTGTTTATTAGACAAATTCTGCTATAAGGTGGAACTGCAGCTTGGTAATTGAACCGTGCTTGGCATGATAAATAGTCTTGATTCAAATCTTAGTATTTCCAGTTTTTGAAGGGCAGAGTATGAGAGATGATATGAGGGATTATTGCAGGAGAAAATGGACACATGCCTAATATGGCAAGACGTTAAACATGTTTGCATATAGTTCTATGTCATATTATGGATTGTTTGATGTTAGCTTTCAGGTTGTATGAATCCAACTAGCATATCTTAGTTATGGCTTAATCTTCTATGTGATCACAATTTATTGTGGTTCATTGAACAAGACTGGGTTTACAGATGCTGAACCATGTTTAAATTATGGCTTGTTGAATAAGTCACAATTGGGTGAATTATTTGTTTAGAAGGCCAGGTTAGAGCCAATTTCAAACCACATTTCATCATGCAATTGGCACCCATGTGATTTATGCATAGTATCATCTTCTTCAGAGTTGCAGTTTACATATTGTAGGTCTACTCTGATAAATAAAAGAGGTTTATTGCATGGGTTTGCATGCCAAGGAGAGCAGACTCATTTCCGCAGTTGTATGTTTATCCTGTTCTGATAATTATGAGGTTCAGAATATAAAAAGAACAAATGCTCTCAAAATATATTTTTCGTATCTTAATGTGGTGCTCAGACACAGACTGTTGAATCTTTTTTTTCGTTATAATGAATTTTCCAGACGCTTCTTTATGCAATACCATCTGGAAATATATTTTAGCCAGGCCAGAGTTTCAGAAATATTTTCTTATCTATGGCTTATAGTGCTATGAAGAACATTCCTTTTGAAACATTTTCCCTGCCCATCCCCAATCATTAATAATAATAATAATAAAGTTGGAAGGTACCTTGGAGGTCATCTAGTCCAACCCTCTGCTCAGGCAGGAAACCCTATACTATTTCAGACAAATTGTGGTCCAATCTCTTCTTAAAACCTTCCAGTGTTGGAGCATTCACAGCTTCTGGAGGCAGGTTGTTCCACTGATTAATTGTTCTGTCAGGAAATTTCTCCTTAGTTCTAGGTTGTTTCTCTCTTTGGTTAGTTTCCACCCGTGGCTTCTTGTCCTGCCTTCAGGTGCTTTGGAGAATAGCTCAACTCCCTCTTCTTTGTGGCAGCCCCTAAGATATTGGAACACAGCTATCATGTCACCCCTTGTCCTTCTCTTCATTAAACTAGACATATACCCAATCCCAGCAACTGTTTCTTATATGTAATATTATCAATTTCAGATCAGCTCTACAGTTCTAAAAAGAAATGGCAAATCGTGGAATAATAAATACAAAAAAACAGTGGCCCCCAACCTTTTCGGCAACAGGGACTGGTTCGGTGGGAAAAAAAATTTCAATGGACTAGGCATGGGTGGGCGTAGTTTTGCGTGCTACATAGATCTGTGCATGAGCAAATGAAGCTTCATTCACTTGTGCTGCCCATATTGGTTCGTGGCCCAGGGGTTGGGGACTCTTGCAATAAATAATAATTGGAGGGATTCTTGAGTGAAATAAAATGTCTTTGCTGAAGGATGTCAGTTTTGGAAAATCCAGTTCCAAACTAGGTGTTTTTGAGACTGATTACAGATAATCAAATCTGCCAATCTAATTTTCTCTATCTAAAAACTGATAGTTTGATTTCTCCCAGACTATATTTTTTCATTGAAAATGCGGTTCATTCTATGCCTATATTAAGCATTATTTTAAATATTTGTATTTTTGTACATAATATTGCCCAACATGCACTTTTCACCAGACAAAACCCTTTTAACATTACTTTCATTTGGGGTTGATATTTCTCTCTATATATTTTTTATATATTTTTTTCCAATTTGTAAATATTGTGTAATTCAGAGATGAAATATTTAAGTTTAATGCAAAATACAATAACACTATATTGAAAAGCAAAGTAAGCAAACTGCCCCCCTTCCCCTGCTCAAATGAAACAATGTCTGAATTTAATTGTAATCTGAAAATGTTCCTTGTAAACAAAGGGACTATATAGCATACGTCTGAGGATCTTCAGGCAAAAAGCATTTGTCAGCTTTTTCTTTCCTTTTCCTTTTCATAAGAGTTTACCCTAAGAAAAAGAGGAACTCAAGAAGACTTACAAATAAAAGATTATGCAGTATTGCATGCTAACTCACTGCTCACTGCCAGGAGTTTGATCCTGATCGGCTGAAGATTGACTTAGTCTTCCATCCTTCTGAGGTCGGTAAAATGAGGACCCAGATTGTTGGGGACAATATGCAGACTCTGTAAATCAGGTCTTTTCAACCAGTAGTACGGGTACCACCTGTGGTACATTGGCACCTGGCAGGTGGCACGCGACCATCCTGGAAAAGTGGTAGCGGGGGAGGGGAATGAGCTGAACCGGTGACAGCACCACACAAGCCTGAGCGAGAGATAGCTGGAGCTGCAGGGCTGTCAGGGCTCAGAGGAAGCGCCAGGATCAGTGCCGCTTTCCAGCTGATCGGCGCTTCTTCGGGACTGTGGAAGTGCCAGGAAGTAGAAGCGCCAGCTCAGTGGAAGCGCCAGGATCAATGCCAGGCTCCAGCTGGAGCTCAGCGCTGATCCTGGCACTTCTGCTGAGCCCAGAAGAAGCGTCGATCAGCTGGAATGTTGCAGCATCTCCAGGATCTTGTGATTTACATTCAGATGCTTGGCAACTGATTCGTATTTATGACGGTCACAGAGTCACAGTGTCCCAGGGTGACCAAAACCTGCTGTAACCACCCAGCAGACAGAGGGAATAAAAACCAAACACCCCCCACCCCCGCTGCCAATCCTCAACAGAAATGCTCACAACAATGAAAACCTTGGATAGGAGGAAGAGCGCCATTGTAACTTTGAGCAGTCAGTAAGCGAACTGTTGTAAGTTGAGGACTACCTGTACTTCATCACTTTTTTCCTTTTTTTTTTTTTTTTGGTCATCAAGTTTTTGACACCTTGCTAGGCGACTGGTGGTACTCAGATATTGCCATATCCTAAAAGTGGTACAATACGTGAAAAAGTTGAAAAGCCTTGCTGTAAATCACTTAGAGAGGGCTGTAAAAGCACTATGAAGCAGTATATAAGTGCTATTGCTATTGCTAAAGCAGGACCTTTATGTAATCAAAGCTCTTTGTGGAAACTAAGTTATATTTGTATCAGTGCTTCCCCTGACAAATTCTATTTAGGATAAAAATCCTGGATGCAGAAAAGACATTATAGCGTCTGCCCAAAGATATGTGTATGCAGCTTAAGAGCTTTCTTTTTCTATTTTGAATCAGAAAATAAAAATTGGGTGAGCCATTCCTAAGAAATATTCCTGAGACATCATGAAAAATAATAATTTATTTTACAGTTTACACAGGGGGAATATGTAGAGTTAAACATGTGATGTTGGAACTGTAATACTAAACAAACAAATAAATCAGATCCACACTGGGTTGTTCAATGTGGAGATAGATCAGTAAAGACTCATTCACGCTCGCAAGTCATCACTTCATGTTGCAATCAAATAATAAGTATGCTTATGTAAATCAAGCCCACCCTTTTAAGAGCAGATATGTAATAAGAAGAACTGAACCTGAGTTTTAATTTTATTTCCTAGTTACTAACAATCAAAATTCCACAGGTGAAGCTACATATTCATCGCAAGCACAATGGCTCTACTTAGAAACAAAAGCTCTGAGCATTGTTGGCTCATGTCTACCAAAACCTGACATGATTTTCTCTTAATGGCCCGCTAATTTGCCTTAACTGCATTTATTCTGAAGTCTGACTGATCTTTAGAAAAGCTTCAAGATAACTGCGTTTAGGACTATTGACTTGACTTCTACAAATAGGCTTTGTATTTTCCCCCCTCTGCCATCTCTGCCATCCCTACTGCTATTGCTGTGAATGTATTTTCATCTGCTCATTCTTCTCTTTGGTTAGTAATCGCTAGTTAAATCGCTGCTCTCACTTCCTTGACTTAGAGATTCACTGTTGGAGGCTGCACTGTCTGAATGACTGCTGCGGTTGTTATCTTCACTTGCTTCAGATTCAGTTTCATTTGAATCCTCCGCTGTATCTGCAGCACTGTCACTGCTGGACTGATTTGCTGAATCACTTTCATTGTCACTGTTGGATTGGCTGTCATTTTCATTGCTGCCTTCTTGATTGTTATCTTCCTTCTCACTGCTACTCTCAGCATCACTCTCACTGCTGCTGCTATCAGATTTGCTGTCACTCTCACTGCTGCTACTTTCACTCTCACTACTGCTACTCTCACTGTTGCTACTTTCACTCTCACTACTGCTACTGCTATCACTGTCACTCTCACTGCTGCTACTGCTATCACTTTCACTGCTGCTTTTGGATTTACTGTCGCTCTCACTGCTGCTACTGCTATCACTGTCACTCTCACTGCTGCTACTGCTATCACTGTCACTCTCACTGCTGCTTTTGGATTTACTGTCGCTCTCACTGCTGCTACTGCTATCACTCTCACTGCTGCTTTTGGATTTACTGTCGCTCTCACTGCTGCTACTGCTATCACTTTCACTGCTGCTTTTGGATTTACTGTCGCTCTCACTGCTGCTACTGCTATCACTTTCACTGCTGCTTTTGGATTTACTGTCGCTCTCACTGCTGCTACTGCTATCACTGTCACTCTCACTGCTGCTACTGCTATCACTGTCACTCTCACTGCTGCTTTTGGATTTACTGTCGCTCTCACTGCTGCTACTGCTATCACTCTCACTGCTGCTTTTGGATTTACTGTCGCTCTCACTGCTGCTACTGCTATCACTTTCACTGCTGCTTTTGGATTTACTGTCGCTCTCACTGCTGCTACTGCTATCACTTTCACTGCTGCTTTTGGATTTACTGTCGCTCTCACTGCTGCTACTGCTATCACTCTCACTGCTGCTTTTGGATTTACTGTTGCTCTCATTGCTGCTACTGCTATCACTCTCACTGCTGCTGTCAGATTCACTGTCGCTTTTACTGCTACTGTCGGATTCACTGTCGCTTTCACTGCTGCTGTCAGATTCACTGTCACTTTCACTGCTGCTGTCAGACTCATTGTTACTCTCACTGCTGCTCTCTGATTCACTGTCACTTTCACTGCTGTTTTCGCTTTCACTGCTGCTCTTGGATTCACTGTCGCTTTCACTGCTCCTGTTGGACTCATTGTCACTCTCACTGCTGCTCTTGGATTCACTGTCGCTTTCACTGCTGCTTTCACTTTCACTGCTGCTCTTGGATTCACTGTTGCTCTCATTGCTGCTCTTGGATTCACTGTCACTCTCACTGCTGCTCTTGGATTCACTCTCACTGCTGCTCTTGGATTCACTCTCACTTTCACTGCTGCTCTTGGATTCACTCTCACTGCTGCTCTTGGATTTACTCTCACTGCTGCTCTTGGATTCACTGTCGCTCTCACTGCTGTTCTTGGATTCACTCTCACTGCTGCTCTTGGATTCACTCTCACTGCTGCTCTTGGATTCACTTTCACTCTCACTGCTGCTCTTGGATTCATTGTTGCTGTCACTGCTGCTTTCAGATTTATTGTCGCTTTCATTGCTGCTCTTGGATTCACTCTCATTCTCACTGCTGGTCTCAGACTGGCTCTGGCTGCTGTCTGGTTGACTCTCACTTTCGCTGCTGATAGATGGGCCACCATTCTCACTGTCATCACTGCCTGGCTGACTGCTACTTTCATTGCTTTCCTGTTGGCTTTCACTGTCTTCACTCTCGCTGTCTGACTGCTCACTGCCAGCATTACTGCTTTGCTCCTCTTCCTCTCCTAAAGATGTGTTTTCCCCATCACTGGCCTGACTGGGGAGATCTTGCTGACTGCTGTTTTCTGAGCCTTCAGAATCTTGGCTTTGGTTGGGTTCGTCCCCTTGCATCGATTCATCACTGAAGCTGTACAAACTGTTGCTCTCACTTTCACTGGTGTCCTCATGACCACTGTTGCCTTCCCCATCATTTCTCTGTAGAGTCCAGGTGGCATCATGATGGGGAGCTGCATCGCTGGGTATATTCATACCCTTATCATGCATGTTACCATCACTTGTAGTGCTATTATTTACAACTGCAGTGTTATTCTCTGTATCCTGATGGCAAAAAGTAAAAGAAAGCATAAACTTAAGCATATGAAGAGACAGCCTTAAAAACCTTAAAGCCACATTAATCAAAGTTTTCAATGCAATCATCATCACTGAAGCAGGTAGATATGGAGCTTCAGTCTGTTGTGCCCAAATATATTTCTAGTAGGCTAAATCAATACAGCCACATCTTACAAAGCAACATGTGTCAAAATACTGTGAGATAATAATATAAATGTGATGGTAATTTTAAACAAAGGAACAGCAAAGACTGGGGGGTACAGAACAGAATAACAGAGTTGGAAGCGACCTTGGAGGTCTACTAGTCCAACCCTCTGCTCAACGGGAGACCCTATACCAAGGGTCCCCAACCCCTGGGCTGGGCCCTCTACTGGTCCTTGGCCTATTTGTAATTGGGCTGCATGAGTGGCTGGCTAGAGCATAGGCATGCATATACAGATCAACTTACATGAGTGACAGGTCGGCGGGCAATCACCCGCATGCATGCCAGCCCATTTGTGCAAGTTGAGCTGCACGCATGCCTGCCAGCCCACCACTCATAAGGGCTGTGTGCACATGCGCATGACATCCTTCCGCTCATGTGGCCCAGTTCCCCTTTCTCCTCCATCAGCTGGGCCACCAGCCACAATGAATGGGGACCACTGCTCTATACCATTTCAGACAAATGGATGTCCAATCTCTTCTTAAAAACCTCCAGTGTTGGAGCACCCACAACTTCTGAAGGCAACCTGTTTCACTGGTTAATTGTTCTCATTGTCAGGAAATTTCTCCTTAGTTCTAAGTTGGTTCTCTCCTTGATTAGTTTCCATCCATTACTTCCTGTCCTACCTTCAGGTGCTTTGGAGAATAGGTTGACCCTCTCTTCTTTAGATATTGTTTATCTTCTCTTTCCCAAGGCTTCTTCATTATATTTGGCATAGTACCCTGGCCTACCATTGTAATGTGTTATAAGACTTTCAGTTTAATCTGAGGCAACCTCAACACAAAGATCTGTTTATAAAACTGGATCAAATCAAACTCCCGAAATTTGCAGACATCTTTTCTTCCTGTCAAAGAACCAGAACGTCTTTTTAGAATCCTAGATAATGTGCTGACTGTAACTGAGTTGAAATGCAAATTAATTACCAAGTCTCCTTTGTAGTCATTAATTATTTCTTGCCTTTTCTCCAGTATACCCAGTGCTTCCTTCTCAGTGAGATAAGTTGGGCTGAGTGTTTAATCCAAAATCACCTAATTCTGAGGCTGAGAATAGACTTCAATTGGGTTTCTTGATCACTGCGAGAGGGCAGACTCCCTGCAGAATGGCCAGCATCTAGGCTGTTGTTGCCCTCCCTTTAAAACCTCTCCTTAGCCAGTACACCAACTAGTGGCTATTAAAGCTAAACCAGTGTTTCTCAACCTTGACAATTTTATGGCATGTGGACTTCAACTCCCAGAATTCCACAGCCAGCAATGCTGGCTGTGGAATTCTGGGAGTTGAAGTCCACATGCCATAAAATTGTCAAGGTTGAGAAACACTGAGCTAAACAGATAGGCAACTGGGGTAATAATGTTCGAGTTGGAATGAGAGAAAAGTTGGTTTATGTTTGTTTATGGAAATAAAGCCTGAAACAGCTTAAGACAAATAAAGAGAGATGCTGTTCTCCAGCAGTAAGACTCACAGTAGTAGTGAAGGAGAAGTATTAGAAGCTGTAGTAGAACTGGGGGAGAGTGGAGTAGTGAGCAGTAAGTACTAGCCTTTGAGTGCTTGTGCAGGTGTTGTCTAGAGACCTGTGTAGTTGTATTGTTTCTCTTGGGTTTTGGGGCCCACTGACCTGGGCATATTGTAAAGAACCCATGACAAAGTGATAGCAGAAGTGGGGTATCCATTAAAAAAATAGCAGGATATCCAACACAAGAGGGAAACCACACAAGTAGAGACAGCTTAAACTCAAGCAATTCAGTACACACACACACTATGAAAAGAAAACAAACTTGGCTTAAAAGGGAGCTGCAAAGAAGGAAGGGCCCTTTGCAGAGTACAGACTTTGCAGGAATTAACCAGCATTCTGACTGCAGAAACCAGGTCTCTTACCAGAGCCTACACCAAACACATTGACATGGAAAAAGCAGAAATGTCAGATTCTCCTTCAGAAAAAAAGTTCTTACCTTGATAGAGATAGGTATGGGGGTAGACTCAGATACTGGGACTAATATGGTTATAGAACTGATAAGGTAGCAGCAAGAGGAAAGGCTGTGGTTAATTAAAGAGGAAAAAGAGCTGCTTTGGAGGGAGAAAGAAAGGAAAGATAGGCTGGGCAGAAAGGAGTGCAATAGAGGTAAGAAGGGAAGGTTTAAGGGGCTGATGGACCTGTTTAAAGGGATACAGCCACCAGAAGAGAGGAATTCGGCTCTAAAGTTTCTGGAACACATATTGAACTGCTTGAATTTAAGCCATCTCCATTTGCGTGGTTTCCCCTTGTATTGTATATCCCACTTTTTTTTATGGATATCCCAAAGACATAAAACATTCCAGGTTGTCAGAGGAATAGGACATAGAAGCCTATTTCATAATGTTTAAAAGACTAGCTACATCTTGTAAGTCGTGTGAGAATGAATCAGTGGTCAAAGTAGCCCCATGTTTAACAAGAAAGGGTTTGACAGCTTACAGTAGTCTTCCAGCAAGAGAAGAAGTAGATTAATCTCATGTCAAAGACAGATATGTCATTTCCTACAACTATAGGCTGAGGTTTAGGAGTTATGCATACAACAAACATGGAGAGATTCATTAATAACGGGCAAGGTTGGAAGAAATAGGCAGGAAATGGACAACCATTTGTCTGAAATGATATAGAATTTCCTGCTTGAGCAGAGGGTTGGACTAGAAGACCTCTAAGATCCCTTTCAACTCTGTTATTCTGTATTGTGAAATGGTTGAGGCCAGAGCAAAGAAAAAGTGGTAATTTCCCAGAATCCCCAGCCCATCACATCCTAAAGATTATGAATATCAAGGACTTCCAATTTGAATGCAGTATTTCTGACCAGCATCAGAGGTGAGAGAAACTAATTTAACAGTTAAATGTCTTTCAAAGCATTGAGATTGTAAGCTAATTTAACCTACAAAATATAGCACATACAGGGAAACTTTCCTTTTCTTTATTTCTTCCCCAATCCCTAGTGACTGTTTACATGCCTGAAAAATCAGTCTGAGGAAAGCAATGCAAAGAATAGCAAAATTGTATATGCCATGTTGCCAACACCACTATCATCTTTAAAATTATGGTTTGATCTTTTCTAGCCACAAACAGTAAGTACATCTTTTGGATAATTAAATAAATAGCTCACCTTAGTATTGCCATTTGAGTCCAGACCATCATTTCTTTTCTTTTCAAGGCAGGTCACATGCTCAGTTTCGGGGCTTACATCACCACGACCTTGAAAACCTTCTTCAGTATTGAGAGAATCATCCACAGGGCCTGCATCACCCTCTCCTTCATTGTTTGGATTGGTTATTTTTGTACCATTAACACAAGCCTGAATGTTGTTCCTATCACTATGGGTTTCCGTCGCATTTTCTCCAAGGTTTGTTGTACTTTCTGGGGTTCCATCTCCCCAACCATCACTAGAACCTTCTTCATTGGGATCTCCACCATTACCACTTCCACCCTCATCAATGTATGCCCAGTGTATACTTTCCCCATGGACCTCACTTCCCATCAGTATATTTGCTGTGTTATCTCCAGGGCCATACATTGCATATCTATGTCCATCCAACTCAATAAAGCTTTGAACGTGATTGCCCTGGAGTCCTCTACTGTCTCTGAACTCTTCTCCAGTTTGATCATAAATTTCATCTTCTATGCCATGCTGCTTATCGTTTGGATCACTCTCAGAAAGTTCTCCTGGTATTCTATAATCAATATTCTCTTCCCCAGTTCCATAACCGGAATCACTGAAATATTCACCTTCTAAAGTAACTTCTTGTCTTTCAGTAGCGTTTTCCTCTGCAGGCATATGTTCTCTGTTTTCATTTATTCTCAGGTTATCTTCAGGTCTTCCATTTTCATTTTCACTGACATTAACAAAATCAGCAGTTCCATTAACTCTATCTGCATTTGGAGTAGATTCTTCTGTTTCGCATTCTTCATGGCCAGGGCCAATACTCCTTCCATGTACACAATTAATATTTCCACTAGTATATCCTAAATTGTTGAGTAAAACAACTGAGTCCTCTCCACCGTTGTCGTTATGAACAGCATTTGATGTATCCTATAAAGGAGTGTAATATTAAGAAGAAGAGTAAAAAAAAGGGAAATGAAAAGTGTGTCCTTTTAAAGGTCAACTTAAAGGTGGAGTTTGTGTTACATTACTATCAGTGGTGGTTGTCATAGGAGCATTAAAAACCTAAGAAGTGTCTTGGAGAATCATCCCAAAGCTGAGTTAATCAGGTTTCTGCTCTGAGTAGGAACATAGCAACACATGAGCCTCCCAGCACCTTTGCAAAATTTGTAGATGATATAAAAAGATTAAAACTGGAACATAAACTAACTAGCTGTTATTGTCAGGTTGCTAACCTATAAGCCATACCTCAATTCTGGTATAAGGAGGTAAGTAGAAAATTAACTACACCATCAAAAAACCCAGAGCCTTACATGATGTCATTAAGGTAATCAGGTCATGTCTACTTACTGACCTGAACAATTAATTGCCTTTTGTCTTTGCTTGTTTTGGTCAGATTGAGCAAAACTCTAACAAATGCATGATGGCATTATTAAATTGGGTGTGGACAATTCCCCACTTACGGGTTGACATTGAGATCTGGCTGTCCCATGGATGTTTAGTTTTCCAGTGAGAAAGTAGCCATCTTACTCAGAGCACGGAGCCATGGTTTCATATTACCAGTAGTGCATGGAAACAATAAGGAAATAGAAGTTGTTTTGATCATTTTTTACAAATTAGTACCTTGCTTTTTAATATTATCTGTATGCCTCAATAATAACCAAACACAAGAGAACATAACTGACTTGATTTAAAAAGAAGAATTTTAAAAGGCAGATTTCCTAAATAAAAATGATTTGCAAAGAAGAATGGTTATCAGTTTCCATGAAAAGGGAGATTCTGAAATTGAAACCTGTGGCAACAAGGGCCCCATCTCAGCTAAACAAGTTTATTTAAGTCATAAGAGGCAGCCTGGGCTGGTTTTTATTCCCTCTAGATCAGTGTTTCTCAACCTTGACAATTTTAAGGCATGTGGATTTCAACTCCCAGAATTCCACAGCCAGCATTGCTGGCTGTGGAATTCTGGGAGTTGAAGTCCACATGCCTTAAAATTGTCAAGGTTGAGAAACACTGCTCTAGATGACAAAAAGAAAGCCATAAACAGGACACAAGTTTGAGATATAGAATATTGGGGAGCAGAGACTGAAATAACAAATATAAGCAACAACAACAGTTGTTATAATTAAGAGCCCAGTTTATTAATCATGCTGATTCTCTCTGCCACATTCTTTACTTTTCAATATAATCAGTACATTGCTTTTAAAGAAAAATATCTTTAATAATATCTTTTTAATGCTTTTTAAAACTCTTGTAAAGTTCACTCCCTGTTGATCAAAACAATAGGATTTCCCATCTTCCAACTGATGGGGCTCTCTTGCTTGATCTGAAGGATGACAATGGCAGATGAGCAGAGTGCTGTTGTTAGGTTTAAGCCAAAATACTGACACCTGTGTTAGAAACTAAAACAGGAGTTTAATTTGGCACAGACAGGAAAACCACTGTTCCTTAAATATTAGTTTGTCAGGAAGTACCAAGTTAAACCTGGACAGAATATCAGAATTCAAAGGCGTGCAAGATCAAAATGACACAGTTGGTATAAAGATAGCATCACCTGTTCCTTCTATTTCTGTCACTAAGAAAAATGCCAGAAAAGTAGTTGCATTATTTGTTGACCTTTCCCCACCCACCAATTCGCTTCTCTTAAACTAGAGATGTATCCCAGCTAGGAAGCCTTTGGCTCTGAAAAGGCACAACACAGTAATCAATTTCTACTGTGAATGGAGAAAATAGTATTATGGTATACTGGTACTAGCCCCTCAAGATTGGAACCCATTGGTGATCCCTGAAGATCTAGCCATGTCTACCTTTGCCACCAAACTGCATGAGTTCTGATGACAATTATTAAATATACAGGGAGAGAGAATATTTGTGCCTTAAGCATTTAATTAACGTAAAGCCATTTAAAATTCAAATGGAAATAACTATAATAATAACTATAATCAAATACAATGTTTGTCCTTGTCCCACTCATTTTCTGGACTTGTCCTGTTTCCATTTGGACATTTCACCCTTGGCATACCACTCAAAGCCCAAGGGCTTTTGAACAAATAATCTGACCTTATCCTGTAGCAAACTTTTGGTTTTTTTGACATAAATACTACGGTGAATATTAGGAGCAGGATTTATTGTCCCTCTTCTGTCTTACATATCACAATAATTCCTATTTTGCCTTCAAGAAATGTTTGGTATTTGTTCTTATTCCTATGCCAGTCATCTCAGGATAAACACCTTGCAATTTTGTTGAATTAGGCAAATGAATTACTGCATAAATTATCCAGGATAGAACCAAGATAATTTCTTTCTCAAGATGAAGTAGTTAGATGATACCTGAGACTGAAAAAAATTCAAAATGCTTTTCTGTTAAAGTGACTATCCTTTCATTATGGTGCTACAAATTCAGAGAATGTTATCTCAGCCTTTGTAATAGATTTGTGAGAACTATAGAAGATATTTCTGGAACAGAACTCCCAGTTTAATAAATGGAGTACTGTACAGAACTGTCTTATTTATTAAGTTGTTTTTTTCCTTATCTGCAGTGTAATGTAGGATGGCTAAATTTTCTTCTTTTTAATCTGCTGAATTCCTTGATAAATTATATTCTGGAGAAAGGCATGAAAACAAATATATTGGAGTTCTTAACAATAAGAAAAGCAGTATAGAAATAATATCCTAAACCAATAAACTATACATATATTTTAAAGGAAAACTGATATGCCATTGTGTGAGATGTGTTTGAATATTGTATTCTTGTATAATTTGTTGTATAATTAAGTCATATACACATGCTAAAATTTTATAGGAATTTACTCACCGTATTATCCCCAATGCTCATAACATTCCTTTGTTCATATTGAAGGAGCTTGTAAATCAGAAAAAAAAATTGAAAGAGCAATTAAAGTTTACTGAAAATAATAATCAATGCAGAATATCCAGAATATTTTTGCTTGGTTTGTAAATGACATTGCAGGAGTTTATGCAATACGACATAATAATCTGGTAAAGAATGTAGAGGTGGGGCTTAAACAAAAGCAGTTGTGATCACATCATAAAAATAATCTATTTAATTTGTACTTGCTCCAAGAAAAGTTATTTGATTTGTCACTTGAATGAATTCTTTTTGCACTTTGTCATCGGTTCTTTGAATATTTATTTCTGCCTCTTTCTGATATAATAATGATTAACAGATTACTAACTTTCAAAATGGAGTACTCCCCCAATAATGAATAGTAAAGTAAATAAATAGCACACTACTGAATAATAAATTACCAAATAATTAATTCCTCCTGAGCAGGAGTTATGTTCTCTTTGACCAGATGTGGAATGATAAAATAATTGTGTAACAATTGAGTATGGAGCATTTTCATCAAGAGATTGATGTGATCCATAAGAGCAGAATGAAAATTCTGAGCCACATTGTAGTTTACACGTACAGAGTTGTGCATGTGTAACTTTGGCAAGTTGCTGAATTAATTGTCAAGCAACATTCTGGAACCTCCTAAGAATATTACCTACCTCTAGGCACAGCAATGGATTGGGGTGGTTGTCAGGTTTTATACAAAAATATCCAATTTGCATCTTGAGCAAAATACAAATTAGCACAACTTCTTTGAATTGGGCAGTATCAACATTCATTGCAAATAAATAAATGAACAAACTGGTGTTCTAAATCTGCAGTTTTCAGAATTTCACTGTGCTGTTTGCAAATTGAATAAATACACACAAAAGTGAAACATCCACAGAAAAGTCACTTGAAAAATGGAAGCACGCTAGGAAAAGTACTGTAGTTTTAAAAGTGATTTTTCAAAGAATTGCACTAAAATATGCAAACATCCTATGGACTTCTTTTTTTACTGAATTCTGTGAGTGATGTGGAATTAAACCAAAATGGGAATACCTATATCTTGACAGTCAGTTCTATGTAAGAACGAATGCAGGAACTGGGCATGTCTAGTTTAATGAACCGAAGGACTAGGGGTGACATGATAGCAATGTTCCAATATCTAAGGGGTTGCCATAAAGAAGGGTTCAATCTATTCTCCAAAATACCTGAAGGCAAACAAGCAGCAATGGGTGGAAACCAGTGGTGGGGTTCAAATATGTGAACAACTGGTTATCTGTGTGGATGCTACTTCCAGAAATCCATTCTGGGCCTAGGCAACAAAAAATTAGCTACCAGTTCTGCCGAAGTGGTGCGAACTGTCCGAATCCCACCACTGATGGAAACTAATCAAGGAGAGAAGCAACCTAGAACTAAGGAGAACTTTCCTGACAGTGAGAACAATTAATCAATGGAATGGCTTGACTTCAGAAATTTGGCTATTCCATCACTGGGGGGTTTTAAGTATAGATTGTACAACCATTTGTCTGAAATGTATAGGGTCTCCTACTTGATCATGGGATTGGACTAGAAGACCTCCAAAATCCCTTCCAACTCTATTATTCTTTTGTGTTTTAATAATCTTTACTTTCTTGTGGAAGAATATTCATTTCCTTCTGTAAATTATGCCATTCCTAATGAACAGATCTGACATTAATTCAATGAGGCAATAAAATGACTTACCGGGAATGCCCAGGCTGTTACAACAATGCAAAGAAACACAATTGTTTTCTTCATCCTCAGTGATAGGCACAGCCTGACCTTGGAAAAAGGCTGCAAATAAAGACATCATTCAATGAACATGAAATCCAAACACATTGTAGAAGGTAAACAGTGATATATACCGTTTTCACAACATGTACTGTACTGTACTATTTAGGAGACAAAGGAAAATGGAACATTAAAGAAATGGGATATGTACATTACTACATGAATGCTTTATGGTTCTTCTCTGGATAAAGGCAGGATAGAAATGAAATAAATAAAAATAAAAATAAATAATATTCCATTCCATCCCTTCCCTTCCCTGGCAGCTGACCAGCAGTATTTGTCCATAGAACATGCTCTGAACTCAGTGATCTTTGTTGGGTCTCTCCTCACCAGTCCTTAGATTTTTTTTTAAGCAAACAAAGGAACGGTTGCGCTGGAATTGGGTATGTCTAGTTTAATGAAGAGAAGGACGAGGGGGCATATGATAGCAGTGTTCCAATATCTCAGGGGCTGCCACAAAGAAGAGGGAGTCAAGCTATTCTCCAAAGTGTCTGAAGGCAGGACAAGAAGCAATGGATGGAAACTAATCAAGAAGAGAAGCAACCTAGAACTAAGAAGAAACTTCCAGACAGTTAGAACAATTAACCAGTGGAACAACCTGCCTCCAGAAGCAGTGAACGCTCCAACACTGGAAGTTTTTAAGAAGAGACTGGACAGCCATTTGTCTGAAATGGTATAGGGTTTCCTCCCTGAGCAGGAGGTTGGACTAGATGACCTCCAAGGTCCCTTCCAACTTTGTTATTATTATTATTAATGATTGGGGATGGACAGGGAAAATGTTTCAAAAGGAATGTTCTTCATAGCACTATAAGCCATAGATACAAAATATTTCTGAAACTCTGGCCTAGCTAAAATATATTTCCAGATGGTACTGCATAAAGAAGCGTCATTTGTCTGAAATGGTATAGGGTTTCCTACCTGAGCAGGGGGTTGGACTAGATGACCTCCAAGGTCCCTTCCAACTTTATTATTATTATTATTATTATGGATCATCACACAGTCAGCCAGATGTTCAGACTGGATTTGGCATTTTGTCTACCTATCGAGTCCTTACCCAGGACCTGGGATAGGCAGATGTGGATGTTCGATGGTATTACAGGTATCGTCGCAGGATGGAAGCAGTTCCTAGTAAGGCCGCCTTTTGCAATTGACTAATAGCGAATTTGTCAATGCCAATGGTGTTCAAGTGGTGCTCCAGTTGTTTTGGGATTGCACCCAAGGAGCCTATGACTATTGGTACTACCCTTGCTTGCTTTTGCCACAGTCTTTCTATTTCTATTTGTAGGTCTTTGTATTTTGTTATCTTCTCCAGTTCTTTCTCTTCTATTCTGCTATCTCCAGGCACTGCCACGTCCACTATCCAGACTTTTTTGTCTTTCTTATCGACAATTGTTAAGTCTGGGGTGTTATGTTGCAGGTGCTTGTCTGTTTGAATTCTGAAGTCCCAGAGCAGTTTAATTTTATCATTTTCTATGACTTTCTCTATTTTATGATCCCACCAGTTTTTGCTTACAGGCAAATGATATTTTTTGCAGATCTTCCAATGCACCATTGTTGCTACTTTGTCATGCCGCTGCTTGTAATCAGTTTGTGCAATCTTCTTGCAACAGCTTACCAAGTGGTCCACTGTTTCTTCAGCTTCTTTGCATAGGCGGCACTTACTGTCTGTTGCTGTCTTCTCAATTTTGACTTTGTATGCATTTGTCCTTAAGGCTTGGTCTTGTGCAGCCAGAATTAGTCCCTCGGTCTCTTTCTTCAATTTTCCTGCTCTTAGCCATTGCCAGGTTTTATTATTATCTGCTTTCCCAGCTATTTTTTTCATGTATTGGCCATGTAGTGCTTTGTCTTCCCATGCCTCTATTCTGTTCTTCATTTGGTCTTTCTTGTAGGCCAGTTTGGTCTCTCCAGTAGTTAGTAAGCCTTCCTGATATACTAATTTCAGTGCATCTTCATCATTGTTCTTCAGATATTCTTCCAAAGCCATTTTTTCTTCTTCAACCATCTGATGTACTTGTAGCATTCCACGCCCACCTATTTGCCTTGGTAGATAAAGTCTATCAATGTCACTGCGTGGATGAAGGGCGTGATTCATTGTCATTATTTTTCTGGTCTGCCTATCCATTGCTTTTAGTTCTGCTTGAGTCCAGTCCACTATTCCAGCTGTGTACCTAATGACTGGGATTGCCCAGGTGTTGATTGCCTTTATGGTATTTCCTCCATTGAGTTTGGATTTTAAGATCTTCTTCACTCTCTTGATGTATTCACCTCTAATCTTTTTCTTGACTTCAGTGTGCTTGATGTTGTCAGCTTGAAGGATACCCAAGTATTTGTAGTACTCTTCCTCATCCAGACTCTTAATGTTATTTTCGTGGGGCATCTTGATTCCTTCAGTTTTCATTATTTTTCCTTGTTTGATAGTAAGTGTGGCACATTTGTCCAAGCCAAACTCCATTACAATATCTTGGCTATATATACGGACAGTGTTGAGCAGCGATTCTATTTCAGATGATGTTTTTCCATACAGCTTCAGATCATCCATGTAAAGGAGGTGGGATAGTCTGGCAGATGTTTTTGATGTTTGATAGCCATGTCCTGAGTTATTCAGTATTGTTGACAGAGGAAACAGTGCAATAACAAATAGTAATGGTGATAATGAATCTCCTTGAAATATTCCTCTCTTGATATTAACCTCTCCCAGCTTTTCACCATTGATCTGCAACTGTGTCTTCCATTGTGCCATCGATCTTTGCACAAATTTTCTGATGTTTCTACTGACTCCTGTTATTTCTAGGCACTTGATTATCCAATCATGTGGCAGAGAGTCAAATGCCTTTTTGTAGTCAATCCATGCCACATTCAGGTTGGTCTTCCTTCTCTTGCAGTTTTCCAAGATCATTTTGTCTATTAGGAGTTGATCTTTTGTTCCTCTGCTATTGGGGCGGTTTCCTTTCTGCTCAGGTGGAAAGAGATTGTTTTCAACTAGATGCTGTTGTACTGCATCAGCTACCACACCAGTTAGTAATTTGAATGTTGTTGGTAAGCAGGTAATTGGCCTGTAGTTACCTGGTGTTGCCCCTTTTGCTGGATTTTTCATTATTAGGTAGGTTTTCCCAGTTGTTAGCCACTTTTCAATTTCTCCTCCTTGTAGTATATTGTTGAACTGCTTGGCAATGAGTGGGTGTATAACAGTTAGATGTTTCAACCAAAACCCATGCAGTTCATCTTCACCTGGTGCTGACCAATTTTTGATTTTCTTTGCTCTTTTTTCTACCATTTTTGTTGTTATTACTAGTTCTTTCATTTCAACTTCTGTTTTATTTGCATCCACCTCTTTTAACCAAGCCGCATCCTTGTTGTATTTCTTTGGGTTATCCCATATCTGCTTCCAGAATTGCACTGTTTCTTCCTTGTCAGGTACTGACTGATTCCTTGCAGTTTCTCCATTGATGGATTGGTAGAAACGTTTCTGATTGGATTGAAATTGGAGGTTCTGCCTATAGTTTGCAATTCGAGCTTCATATCTACTGATTTTCCTGGCTATAGCTGTTATTTGTTGCTTTATTATTTCCAGTGCTTCCTTGATCTTCCTTGTTTCTAAGTGGTATTTCTTGATTAGGTATTCTTTGGTCTTCTTGTTCTTCAGCTTCTTTTCTTTCATCTGTTCTAGCTTGCTTGCATGTGATCTTAACTTGCTGATCTTATTTTCTAGTCTAACCTTCCATTTTTCTGGTGCACTGTTTGTTTGTTTTTCTTTTTTGTTGATTTTGCATCCCAGGTATTCTGTTATAACTGCAGCTGTGCTGTACATTAGTTGGTTTGTTTCTTGCAGTGAATTGGTGCTTATACTTGCTATTGCAGTATTTGCATCTTTTAATGCTTGTGCTAGCTGTTTCTTTGGAACAAGCTTCAATGCAGGCAGCCTTATTCTGTTGTTTTTGTGCTGTTCTAGATGCTCAATTATTCTTTGTTTCAATTCTTTTATTTCTTTAGTTAGAGGGTTTTGTTCTTCCTGAGGAAGAGGTGCCTGGTTTCCAAATGAGAACAGTTGTATATCTCTACTGGATTCTTTCACTGCCAACTCCCCCTGGTTTGCCTCTACATTCTGAATTACTTCTTGTAAGGCTTTGATTTCTTTGCCCTGGGTAAACCTTTGCAGTTCGTCCAATTCTGTTTCTGTAAATACTTTATTTCGTGTTATAAATCGGCGTTGATCTGCTAGTCTCTGTTCTGTTATTTCTGATTCTGGATGTTGTTCTTTCCAGAATTCGTGCATTCGTTTTAGATATCCTCGTCTTGTTGGACTTGATCTGTAGTAACAGATCATTATTTCTTTGTTTTCCATCACTGTGTATCTGCGACGGGTAAACACCTTTTCTTCCAGTAGTTCTGCAGCTGCTGGCCCTGGTTGCTCAGCCAACAGTCCTGAGTCCTGTAACCCATTTTTCACCAGATATCCAGGAACTCCAATATCTAGTGCGGACCTTGTTAACCCGGGCGACGTCCGAGCCGGTATGGCATTCTGAAATTTACGTCTCACCATATTTTTTATGGGAGAGACACTCTTTGTCTGACTCCTCTGATGAGACCTGTCCAGTATGGTTGAACCTCTGGCATAGCTCTCATCTTCCTCAGAGTACACAAGCCCCACAACCACGTCAAGGTAGTGATTTTATACTTTGCAAAGTTGGGGTGCCTATAGGTTTGCTGATAACTGCCTGTGTGGATGGGGGGGGGTTGTATGGTTGTGGCTACGTAGGAAACACATTTACAGAGGCAAGCAACGTTTGGTGAATGAGACGTACAAAGTCTATACAAGTCTATGATACAAACTGGTTGTGGCCACTTCACTCATGTAGGATTCACATTTTTTTCTTGTGGTTTCCACCATCTTCCCTCCCCCTCCTCCCATTTTAAAATGCTGATACAGTTTATCTCAGAATATTCTGGTTTAATGAACTGACTTTTATTGAGTTTGGTCTCTCTTTGGTCTCTCTCTCTATATATTTAGGCTAACAATATTTTTTTTAAAAAAAAGATAGAGAAGATAAATAATTAAAGAGAGGTAAACATAAGAGACTAAATTACAAATCCAGTGTACAAATTCCCTCTATGTAAACTCTTCAGGAGTACTGATTTAAAATAGATCTTTCTCAGTTTTATTGAGACCCAAACATTTCCCATTCCATAATCTCAGCAACCCCTTCTCAGCTAGTTCTGTCAACCTCGATTTCTGTCAACAACTGCTAAAAATATTTTTTTTAACCATAGCCACTGCTGTGGTTTAAGCTGTTGCTTATACTCGAGTCTAGCTGAACTAAGGATTTAACATGAATTACAATTAATTAATTAACACCATATTATATTAATGTGGTGCATTTTATATATTACTTCTTTAGAAACATATTGGGTATAGAAGACAGATTGCTACTATTGTTGCTGCTGCTGCTGTTTCCTAAAACACTTTTCACTGAAAAACTTTAAATATTAATATACATGTTGAAGCTCTGTAAGTCACTCTAAGAAAGCAGAAAGATCAACACCCTACCACTATCTTTGATGTGATTCCATTCTTTATAGTTGCCTGGGATGTGATTGATGGAAGAACTTCATTCTCATTGTCAGAAATTCCAAAATAAAACATTTGACACTTGTTTTATTGAAGATACACATTGCTTCAGTTCATATCATGGATATGATGCAACTGCTCTGTGCACATTAACAGTTTCTGCCTTCCCAAATAAAGTACAGGAAAACATAATCTGATGATCTGCTTCTCCCAATTTGCTAAATTAGCACACTGACCTATAAAATAATCTACCCAAGAGTACACTAACAAGCTATTATAAAGCCTATTGCTTTCCATCAAGTGTGCAGTGATATTCTCCATTTAATCTGATACATAGCTTCTTCACCTCTCTCACTGGAAGTAGTTGGATGCCACAGGATATACAGAGAATGAAAACAGGTCAGCTAGAGTGAGTATTCCTTGCTCTCTTTTTTTTCCACAATCCTTCTCCAGACAAGGCTGGTTTGAGTTATGACTGTATTTACAAAGCCTTAAATTTGCACATTGTACAATTTAATCAAGAGCTTTTCTTCAGAGTCATTCAAACCTTTTAACTACAACATCATTGTATATTCAATATGACTGTTCAGTATTTTCTCCTTAACTTTTTGACATGCATCTCATCTCATATAACAAGTTATCTAAATTATGCTGCATCTTTTACTTAAAATTGGGCTCTGGTCCATGAAAGCAAATGTCCCAATAAATCTATGAACCTCTAAGATACTGTGAATCCTTTCTGTTGTTCTAAGACAAATGAAATAGGTGAGGGTCAAACTCCATGATTCCTTACCTTGACTTCCAAGAAAGGCACTACTTTTGAGATCTGAAATCACTGCGACAGGTCTGATGGAAGGTTTCCCTGTCACCTTTGAACCTTCTGAAATTTAAATGCTTGCCTGGGTAAGATCCTAACCAATCATTGCTCTTGGGGCAATGTACGATGCAACTTTGGTGGTGAAGTACATATTAACTGCCCACGCTTCCTTAACTGGACAACAGGCTTTCCTAGCCCCCAAAATCAACCCGGTTCCAGTGTGACTAGACCGCTTTCTATCCACTTAATTAAAAAGCTCACATGAAATGAGTTTACACTCTCTTAAATATATAGAATCAGTTGGCTGCAGTAATGAGCTGTGCTAGACACGGTGACCTGGACATTTTTTTCCCTCCATTGTGGTAATTCAGATTTATAATCAACTTTCTCCAGGGAATAGGCTTTCTTAGTGTATCCCCTGGTTTGTTTAATTATTGAGGAATTAATTAACCAACAGCATGATAAAAATTGCTCAGCTGATGTGTCATAATACACATAGTACTCTCAGAGTCATAGTACTCTCCTTATGCAAAACAGATACAAGCGTGGGAGTGGATGGAAGTTAATAGATTATCCAGTAAACCTATTAATATGGGGAGACAGAAACTTCTGCACGTAAATTTAATCCGATATATATCTATGTAGTCCCAAGTCCTAATTAGTTCAGCAAGACTTACTCTTGGTTGAATAAGATTGCAGTTGAAATGTTCTAACTTACAAGAATTAGATAAAGCTTGTCCAAGGGTTATTCTTGTTTCACCATCCATCTCTGAAAACTATATCTGGAGAATGTTTGCAGCTATGGGAGTGTATATTTTTTAAAAGTAACCAAACTGCTATCCTTTCTCCATCATGGTTAGCGAAAAAGTCCTGGATAACTCACATCTAGAGTGTAAAGACCATCATTCTTCCAGTGGTTTGTCTCCAGTGGACATATTCCTCTGTGATGGTGAATGCATACCAGTGCATACTGGAGAATATGGGTATAGAACAGTGATGGCGAACCTTTTAGAGACTGAGTGCCCAAACTGCAACCCAAAACCCATTTATGCATCATTGAGTGCTGGGTGAGTGTGGCCCGTTGGGTGGGCGTGGCCCATTGGGTGGGCGTGCCTGTGGTGGTAACGGCAGACTGGGTGGGACTAAAAAGGTCAATCAATCAATTCCAACTTTGCAAGATCTTTTTTCCCTGCGAGAAGTTGAAATTGACTGAACCTTTTTTTTTTTTTGCACACGGCGGCAGAGGACTAAAACAAAAAGGTTTTATAAAACCCAGCTGAAGGCCCAGGACTGGGGCGATGGTGCATGTGCCCACAGAGAGGGCTCTGAGTGCCGGTTCTGGCATAGGTTCGCCACCACTAGTATAGAAGGTCTTTGTATAGTGCAATGTAACATGTATTATCTGGGTGACAAGCAGACAATGAGAAAGTTTATTGATCTATCTTATTGATCTTATATAAATGAAAAAAGTATCATACAGGTTTAACCAAAAGAAGTGGATAATGCCTTGAGTAGAGGGCACGATGCTGAGCTTGTTAGCTGGAAAGCTGACAGCCCAGGTTCGAGACCCAAGCACCGCACTATGGGTGAGTTCCTGTTATATGCCCCAGATCCTGCCAACCTAGCAGTTCAAAAACATGCAAATGTGAGGAGATAAATAGGTACCACTTCAGTGGGAAGATAACAGCATTCCGTGTACCTTGCCTTATACTCATGCTGGCTACATCTTCATGTAGCCAGCATGCTTCATCCTCATGCTGGCTGTATCTTCAGACAACACTGACTCCCTCAGCTAAGAAATGGAGATGATGGGGAGATGAGTACTGCCCCCTAGATTGGACACAACTGGACAGGGGAAATGTTTACCTCTAATGCAGTGGTTCTCAAACTTTTTAATGCCGCGACCCCCAACCGGTCGTAAGTCGAGGACTACCCAACCGGTCGTAAGTCGAGGACTACCCAACCGGTCATAAGTCGAGGACTTTCCCTACCCGGGAGCGCTGTGCATGCGTGGTGCCGCCCCCTGCGCCGGCCGAGGCGTAGCTGGCAAGCGGCAGAGATGAAGCAGGCCGACCACCGGCTGGGCTACCAGCTGGCCCAGCCCAAGGGAGGTAAGGCACCCGCCGGGCCCCATGCACGCCAGCAGCTCTCCCTGCGCCAGCCGGCCTCCCACCTCCCACCCCTGGCCCTCTTTTTCTTATATTTTTAATAGTTGCTCAGCAGGGAGGGGTGGAAACTTCCAGACAGCTCGCCTTCGCTGCAGACAACTTGCAGCACCGTTTGCAGAATGGGACTTTTGGTGGGCTCAGCAGGGCAGAGACAGCCTGGACAATTCATATTGGCTTTTGAAAGCCAATAGAATTAGACTGTATTCAAGACAGTCTATTCCAGTGTTTCCCAAACTTGACAATTTTAAGGCATGAGGACTTCAACTCCCAGAATTCCACAGCCAGCAATGCTGGCTGTGGAATTCTGGGAGTTGAAGTCCACATGCCTTAAAATTGTCAAGTTTGGGAAACACTGGTCTATTCTATTGGTTTTCAAAAGGAAAAGGGGAAAAAATGGCGGACTGCGTTGTTTGGCGACCCCGTGAAATGGTCATTCAACCCCAAATAGGGTCGTGACCCACAGGTTGAGAACCGCTGCTCTAATGTCTTGGGTATCAGATTTATTGACTCGTACAGCTGGAAGAAACCCTTTAAGTCATCCAGTCTAACAGGAATTGCTCAGAACAGGAATTCATTAAACCATTCCCAGTAGATAATAGTTCACCGCTGTGCTTGAAGACATCCAGTGAACGATGATTTATTTCTTTAACCATTATTACTGGCGGGGAGTTTCCTCTAATAGAATCTGTATTTTAGTAACTAGCAGATTTAGTGATGCAAAGAGCCAGGTCAGGGTCATATTTCAGGGCTCATGGTTTAAGGTTATTGGGCAATGCCTCAATCAGAAAAGAGCACTGAAGTATTTAAGCAATGACATTGCCATTCTTTGAAAAGACGTGAGGTATACAGTTTCCCATTTGCCTTAAGATTCCTTGGCCCACAGAAAACATGTTTTTCCCACTTTCAAATATAATGCAGGTCTCAACTTCCCTAATGTCTTTATTAATATACAGGATTACTTCTTTTTGCTGGATTTAACATTGGTATTGTGCCTCAGAGAACTGAATTATGTAGAACGCACACACAAACAGGAAATCTGTCGATTTCTATTTTCTTCAGTTCCTCACATTTGTGAATCTGATTTCTATCCATTTTTAGGTTTTTATTTCTATTTTATTTATTTTATTTCTATTTTATTTATTAATTTGCTGCCTATCTCAACCACAGGGCAACTCTGGGCAACTTATATGTTTTATTGGGTCCCTTCCTTTCATATTTCTAAAACTTTCCGATAATAAACACATTTTTTCATATATATATTTTTGCACATTTCTCTAAAGAAGAATTTTATTTGCATTTTGCCTAATGTACACATTTTTTGCAAAATAAATAAATTTTTAAATTATTTTAAATTGATGGACTCATTTGCAAAATTAAAGGAGATGCTAATTTTAAATATCTGGTAATTGACCATAATAAAGATTTTCTTTTTTATACTTTAATAATTTATTATTTTATTTATTACTATATATATATATGTTTGGCAAACTCCCAAAATTTTACTTCACTCTTCTGCCAGGAAGGAAAAAGGATATACAGAAACCTTCTTCAATGATTTGTACTCAAAATTCAATGTGAATAACAAAAATGCTTCTCAGACAATAGAAGTGGGATATTCTAAGTTTCTGTTGCCCGTGTATAGGCAACCCATGATCTTTCTACACAGTTAACCATTAAAAACCACAATGATGTCATGAGCTGAAAACCTGAAGTAGTCAAAGCATGCAATTACGAAATGGTGCATGTGATGTCACCTGTCCCTTTTTAGCTGGGGTTTTGTCTCCTTGCTGATCACTCTGGAAACCTTGGGAAAGCGAGGAGAAGTCATCAGTTCCAAGTTCTACATTTCTGCAGCTGAGTTGAGATAGGAACTGACTTCTGGAAACAACAAGCAGACCTCGGCAGATAGAAAAATGAAGTCAAGGCATGTGTCAGATACAAAATGCAAATAAAGAGAGAAACATAAGGATTCCAAGAGGGAAAAGAACATTCCTATAGCCTAGTCCAGTGTTTCCCAAACTTGACAATTTTAAGGCATGAGGACTTCAACTCCCAGAATTCCACAGCCAGCGTTGCTGGCTGTGGAATTCTGGGAGTTGAAATCCACATGCCTTAAAATTGTCAAGTTTGGGAAACACTGGCCTAGTCTCACAATGGAAGCCAATGTCTTCTGTTTTTTTGTACTATAATTATGCCTCCAGTTGAACTAAATATATAGGCTTTGTCGATAGTAAACCAGAGAGTAGCAACCGAGCCTGCGAAAGTGGTATAGCTAATGCCACCAACTTTCTCAAGAAGTTTACTTTGGGTGGTATGCTTTTGCCTATCCCTTAATTTATTTCTTAACAAATATTCTTCTGCATATCCAATAAAATGTCCCCAAACCCAACCAGTTGCTGGTGAAAGTCTATATAGCAAATGCCATTTACCGTATAGTAGTCCTCAACTTATGACCACAGAGGAGCTCAAAATTTCCATCGTTAAGCGAGGCAGTTATTAAGTGAGCTTTGCCCCATTTTACAACCTTTCTTGCCATAGTAGTAGTAGCAGTAGTAGTAGTAACAAAGTTGGAAGGGACCTTGGAGGTCATCTAGTCCAACCCCCTGCTCAGGCAGGAAACCCTACACCATTTCGGACAAATGGCTGTCCAGTCTCTTCTTAAAAACTTCCAGTGTTGGAGCATTTACTGCTTCTGGAGGCAGGTTGTTCCACTGATTAATTGTTCTCACTGTCAGGAACTTTTTCCTTAGTTCTAGGTTGCTTCTTTCTTTGGTTAGTTTTCATCCATTGCTTTTTGTCCTGCCTTCAGGTGCTTTGGAGAATAGCTTGACTCCCTCTTCTTTGTGGCAGCCCCTGAGATATTGGAACACTGCTATCATGTCATCCCTCATCCTTCTCTTCATTAGACTAAACATTTCCAATTCCAGCAACCGTTCCTTATATGTTTTAAACTCCAGTCTCCTAATCATCTTTGTTGCTCTTCTCTGTACTCTTTCTAGAGTCTCAACATCTTTTTTACATCGCGGTGACCAAAACTGGATGCAGTATTCCAAGTGTGGCCTTACCAAGGCATTGTAAAGTGGTATTAACATTTCATGTGATCTTGATTCTATCCCTCTGTTAATGCAGCCTAGCACTGTGTTGGCTTTTTTGGCAGCTGCAG